GCGAAGAAGGTAGAGGATAGACGCGCGGATCGTCGTTTCAAGTTTCCGTACGAGGGTCCGAGGCCCCAAAGTAGAGGCCGTTTCAGCAGGCGGCCTCTGTCTTTTCTGTCCAAACACGTCTAAAAGCCCAAATATTTGAAGTTATCCCCTCGCTTGCTGCAAATACGGCAAACGCCGACGGAGTGCTCTCGCTTTGCGGCGCGCAGTTTCGACCTGCGCTCGTTTTTTCCTTGAGGCTCTTCCACCTCTCCCTCAGGGTCAACTCGAGGAGCCGCTGCCGCAGTTCCTGTCTCGCCCTGCGATCTCTGTCGATTTACGCGACACGAAACGTTCGCAAACGTGGACTGGCCGATTGACATTCGGACAACGTATAAATTGCGCGTCTCCTTCTCCTCTTGTGTGGATTTAGGCGGCAAACACGGGCGAACTCGATTGTCGCGACCGAGGGGAAGCCCCTCGACCACGTTTACAAAGACGCTTACAGTCTTTACAGTATTTACTCGGTTAACGAGCACCGGCGAAAGAGTTTGTTAATATTAGCATGCGTGCGACTTCGTGGAAAGTGAAGAAATCGAGCTGCGCGCGCGCGGTTAGGACTGGAAGCAACAACTATTCTTCAAAATCGATCAAGAATTGATTACACATTTTTAAAATTTTTTGAAGTGAAATCTCACTTGAAACGAACGGAAAATGACAGTGTCTTCACTCTTGAGATGAAACAGTGAAAATACTGTCACCTGAATCGCAAAAATAAATATTTTTCTCGATATTTATAGTAGTTTCCAATATTAGAAACCACTGTTGATATGTGCGCAGAAATTTGCTATAAATACGTGAAAATTATTTCTCGAAGTAATTTTCTCTTAAATTAAAGTAAATACTATCTTCCATGATATTTCACAAATATCATGCTTTTCCGTCACTTCCGTCATTCGATAAAAAATGTATGAAGCGTTTAATAATTGTGAAATGTAATATACACATCAGATTCACTTTTCAGTTTTGGGTGAAATTATTTGCTCGATAGTTAGAAATATGCACTCTGTATGAGTGAAAAATCGTTCAAATTCGAGTGACTTGAGTATAGAAAAGTGATATTTTTTCTTGTCAAGCGAAATTTTGCTCCAAGAAATTCAGTGGGCACCAAGTGACGACATATCGTCGTGGCAAAATCTCCGGGTGCCGGGAGAGCCGGAAGATCGAGGAAACGCATGTTTGCGCAATGATTCACCGTGCTGGCGTTCCCCTCTCCTTTCGCCCTCTTGTATGAGTAAATGTTGCGCGGTGTTCGTCGCTTAGCAAGTAAACGCCGATGCGATTTGCACCGCATTTGCAACGAAGAAGAAACGAGCCGGCTAATTTGTAGATCGGAAATAAAAATCGGCGCGCCGAACAGAAAAGAACCTTCCCCCCTTTCCTCAGCGCGGTCCCCTCCGTTAGCCGCACGTCGTTCTCGGGTAGGGACACGACCCCGATTCCAATTAAGGATCGCTGGGAGCAACAAAAAGCGTCGATGCGTCCGTCGAAAACGAATAACTCGAATTAAAGGAGGCTGGGGGCGAATTTTAGTGATCGTTCTCGCCGCCGACGAAGACGTCGGCGCGGCGGCCGCTAATCTCGGGCCAAATCTTAATGCCGGTCGGACCGCGCGCGGCGGTTTCGTGAGCGCGTCGTCGCCGAGTGCATCCTGGCGCGCGATTTCTTTCTTTTTCTTTTCTTTTCCTTCCTACCTCGGCACGACGCGCTCTCGCGCCTTTACGGCCGAGCGGGCCGTCGCGTCGGCCCACGCTTTTCACGGCGTCCGCGTTAGCGGGACAAAGGAGCGCCGAGATTAGCGGCGACACGTATAAAAGCCGGCGTGATGCGGCGCGGCGCAGCGCGACGCGACGCGACGCGACGCCGCGTCAATCGCCACTCCGAGCGCGCAGAAGGGTTTCATGAACGGCGCTAATTAACGCTACTGGAGTTTTAGTGCGTTTAGCGTGTGTATCAGAGATTCGGAATGCATGTATAGCGAACGCTTCATCGGAGCGCGATATATAAAGCTGGTGCAACAGCGAGCAGCTTCTTCCATCGGTGTTGTTGCGCCTCTGTTCGAGCTTGAGGTAACACCTGGTCGCTAACTGCCTCGGTCGTTTTCACCTTCGCCTCCTCGCGTCTACACGCCGCGGCGGGTCGCTCGCCTCTCGCGAGGGAGAGAAAGAGAGAGAAAGAGGCGGCGTCCTCTCTCCGGAGCGTTTCTTTAATTTACGCTCGCATCGAGGATCCATAAAAGCGGGTAGTGGCGGTATGCGCGGACGTAAGGTGCTGCGGCGAGACCGAAGGAGGCACGAGAAGAGTGCGTCGCTAATGCAACGGCGGCGGCGGTAATATCCGCGAAGATAAGGGGGATCGCCGACGTTCCACCTCGCGGAAAATCGAACGAGGGAACGCGCGAGAGCGAACGGTGAACCGTAAATTCCAGAGACGCGAGACGCCCTAATGGCTGCCCGTTCTCGCGTTCACCGAGTCGACGCCTCTGCCACGGAGAAAGTCGGCCGTCTAATCTAACAGTACACTGCACTACGTGTCCCCGTATTACTTACTGGTGGTGGCAGAAAAATGGCGTGTCCAACAGTAATGCATGTTTCACGGACAGTTATACACGGGAAAAAGCTGTTTTGGAAACTCGTGTCGAATTAATTGCCGCATCGGATCTCATGTATCATTTGACTCGGTTTTTCGTGAGAAAGAGGAAGGAAGAGAGAGAGAGAGAGAGAGAGAGAGAGAGAGAGAGAGAGAGAGAGAGAGAGAGAGGGAGGGGAGAGAG